ATATGTAGTCTGAGAGGTTGTATTCCCACATGCAAGATGTTTTGTCTGTGCCAGAAGGAAAGGTAAGGTGCTTTTTTCTTCCTGACAGTTTTCAGAAAAGAGGGCCATTCTCACATTTAGATCTTTACAAAGTTATTATGGACGTATTTCCAACTGCCTAATGGACAGGCTTCTCTGTCCTGTCTCAGTAAGTGGCACTTCCAGCCTTGCAGTTTCTGGGGCCAGAAAGAAGCCTTGGGGCCGTCCTGAGTGTCTCTCACACCCCATAGCCGATCCATCAGCAGACCCTGCTGCTGGCTTTACCTTCAGATGTGAGCGTAGGCCCACTACTCTCCACTGTCCTCTGTCTCCCCCTTCCCCACACGCTCTCCCCCTTCTGCTGCCATGGTCCAGTCACCACCCTGCATGCCTGGATTGTCACGGTAGCCTTCTAACCCATCGGTCTAGTCCCACCCTTACCTACCCCCTGTACCTGACTGTCCACCTGGCCACCACAATCATGCTTTCAAAATAGCAATCAGATCAGGTTGGCCTCTTGCTCAAAACCCTCCAGTGGTTCCGCCCCACAGCCAACATCTTCATGGGGCCCACAAATCCCTACATGAACTGCCCTCCCTCGTGTCACCCCAGTGTCCTCTGCTGCTGCTCACCACCCTTCACTCTCTCCAGCTGAGCCACACCGGCCTGGTGACATGCTCACCCGCCTCTGGGACCTTGCACCTGTCGTCTGTTGTTCTTAGTGCCCGGAATGCCCTTCCCCGTCATGCTGCCTGGCTCACTCTCCCACCTTCTCAAATGCCACTTGTGCAAGGTCCCCTGACCAACTTTTATATCCTAGCTCTCCTCCCTCATTGTCCCCTTACTTTTCTTCTCAGCACAGAGGAAGTACTTTTCATTTAATGAATAAGTGAATTACTGGGCACTCCCCCAGTACTTTGTTGAGCATCAGGGTGCACTTTGGGAAAGGCCCAGAAGCCCTTGGCAGCCTGGTTTTGGATCCTTATGGCAGTCACCGGACCTAACTGTCTGAAAAAGGGTATGATCTCACAGTTACCAGTGTTGGAAATTAATGGGTCTTTATGGTGGTCACTTTAAAGGACAGTGTATGAAGTGGTTCTGTTACGGCTGTCGTGGATATAAATCTGGAGGATTCCTAGGCAGAAGACCCTGCTCTCAAGTGACAGCATCATCCTCAGATTCGAAAGTGCTTTCTCAGAGAGCTTAGACTTAGATCAGCGGTTCTCAACCTGTGGGTCGCGACCCCTTTGGGGGTCGAACAACCCTTTCACAGGGGTTGCCGGGTACTCGTATGTGGGCGTATCTGCATGTGGGCCTGGAGATGGATAGAGGAGCGGTGTCTTGGTTCCTAAGACCATCGAAAATATGTGTTTTCCGATGGTATTAGGCGACCCCTGTGGAAGGTTGAGAACTGCTGACTTAGATGGAAGTGAAGTTGATGGGCTGTGGAAACTGTTAGGTGACCCCAAAAGTGGCTGTAGTGATGACAAAGATAGTGATGTGAAAGGTGCAGGTGATGAGTTTCAATGAAGTTGTTTAACGAAATGTGAGTGGAAAAATGCAGCATTTCTAAACAAATATTTTATATATGATTTGAAGTATGTATAAGTAACTTGACTATAACTGGTAGCTGTTTAACTATTTCACTTACACATTTAAACGTTTATGAATTTGAGCATTATTTTTGGATCATCACATTGGGAAAATGGGAGAATTGCCTGGTATAAGGGCATATACGGTAAACGTCCCTGTCCTTTTGAGCCTCTAGAAGGCCCTATTCTGTGATTGATTGTGGCTGGTCTGCAGTCCACCTCCTTCCACCCCCCTTCTGCCCAGATGTCAGAGGAGCTGTGAGAGGAACCTTCTGGATCACTGAGTCTGGTGCTTCTTTCAGATTTTGGAGGCAACATCAATGTGGAGACCATCAGCACCTTCATTGATGGTGGAGGCAGTGTCCTGGTAGCTGCCAGCTCAGACATTGGTAAGTCTAACCTTGGAAGTCCTGGTGCTTTCCGCCATTTCTCCAGGAAGCTTGGAGAATTTTACAAATGGAAGCTGCCAAAATGGCATTCACTGAGTGGTCCTTGGCCAAGGAGTGAGGGAGGGAGCTGTGGGCCATTCAGTTCCTCCTTTTCTGTGATGAGCCAATGAGATGTGGGCTTTTTTTTTTTTTTTTTTTTTTTTAAGCTGAGCCATCCTGCCACTTGTTGGCAGCTCAGCGGCAACTCAGCTTGGGCTGGACTCGAACCGCTGTTGCTCAGAGCTCAAACCTTTGAGCGAGCTCTTAACCAACTGAACCACTCAGCTGGCCCCAAGATGCGGGTCTTTTTAAGGGCTGGGAATCCTGGCTTATTTTCCTTTGTTTTTTGTTTTTGTTTTGGCGGCTTTTTCCTTAAAAAGAGAAATCAGGTAGGGGGAGGCTAATTGGGTGGAGCCCAAAGCATTGGACAGATTTTTGTTTTGTTTCCTATTTTGGAAAATTTCAAAGATACTTAGAAGTATGGGGAGAGTAGTAGCCTGAACCCCATGTACTTATCACTCAGCTTCAACCATGAACAACACCTGGCCAGTCTTGATTCATTTTTTCAGCACTGAGAGATTTTTAAAACCATATTGGGTGGGGTTCTCAGTAAGGTGATGATAAAGAAAAACCTTTTAAGCCAAGGTCATCCAGGTCGAGTTTGCCCAGGTATTACTTTGCTTCAAAGGGGTTTTTTGTGCAGAACCAAGGTCACTGTGTATTTGTGGAGGGAGAGGGCCGGGTGGCTTTTTGTTTTACCAGTTCAGACTTGGACCCCTGCAGGCAGAATATCGTGCTGCTGTCCAGGGCTCCAGCGGGGGCTGAGCCCGGCCTGGTGAAGCCGCAGGGCCCTGGGGATGATGGCAGAGTGAGTCATGGCGATGCTAGGACAAGTGACAAAGCTTGGCTCAGGGCCCACCCGTAAGGACTCAGCCAAACGTATCTTGGGTCTGTGCAGGTGACCCTCTTCGAGAGCTGGGCAGTGAGTGTGGAATCGAGTTTGATGAGGAGAAAACTGCTGTCATTGACCATCACAACTATGACATCTCAGACCTTGGCCAGGTAATCAGGCCTGTCGCCTTCCAGGTTTCAGGCCCTTACAGCAAAGCTCAGCCTGGAAACTACAAGGAAGCAGGGAGGGGACCCTGGCCGGGAGGCACCTTTTCTTGACCACCATCCTTCCCTCTGCCCTTGCAGCACACGCTCATCGTGGCTGACACGGAGAATCTGCTGAAGGCCCCGACCATCGTTGGGAAATCATCTCTGAATCCCATTCTTTTTCGAGGTGTTGGGTGAGCGAGCAGGGTGCAGCTGACAGAAACCTGGGGGAAGAGGGGTCACGCTAACTTGTCAGGAAACCGACTGAACCTGTGATTATTTGAGGGTATTCTTTCCTCCAGAGGGTGCGGATGAGAGTAATTTATGACATTGAGTCAAACTTCATAGTTATAGCAAGAGGAGAGCTGAGTGTGGCTATTAAGAAAGTAGGATTTATTCCTGCAAAGAGGTGGCCCTTAGGGGACCCCAGGTCCTTTGGGCTCAGAGTTCAATGGTTCTCTTTTTCTTCTACAGGATGGTGGCTGACCCTGACAACCCCTTGGTACTGGACATCCTGACGGGCTCTTCCACTTCTTACTCCTTCTTCCCGGATAAACCCATTACCCAGGTAAGGGGCCTTTGCAGCTTGGAGGCTCCAGCTCCTGGGCCTGGTAGCAAAGCCCTTTTTTATTTGAAGCTGATAACTAAGCAGGAAAGCACACTTTGTTGAGGCTGATGAAATGAGAAGTTGGTGGGAGCGGGAAAGTGGGCAGAAGCTGCAGGGTCTCAGGCTCTGCCCTCAGGGAGGGCCCAGGTTGTTCAGGTCTAGTCTCCTGCCCCCTTGCCCGAGGCCCAGCGGCTTGAACTCTGCCCTGGCTCTCCCGGATGACAGCCCCATTTGTTCCCAGTATCCCCATGCAGTGGGGAAGAACACCCTCCTGATCGCTGGGCTGCAGGCCAGGAACAACGCCCGCGTCATCTTCAGCGGCTCCCTTGACTTCTTCAGTGATGCCTTTTTCAACTCAGCAGTGCAGAAGGCCACGCCCGGCTCCCAGAGGTAGGGGCCTGTGGCTGGGTGCTGGGGTCTGTGCAGATGAGGAGGACGAGCCTTTTAGCTGTGAGTGTCAGAGGCTAAGTATCTTTAGGTGCTTTAAAACTACTCGAAGGCTTGACCTGGTTGCTGTTGCTGGTGTTGGCAATCCAAACTTTTCTAGCAATGGCTCCTCTAGAGAGGTTTGGAAAGTGAGTCTTTATTGAGCAGGTGACACCCAAAGCAACGCCACCTCGTATTGTTTTCTGTGTTCCCTTTAACTAGGATACTTAGGTATGTAATGGCCTACAGGTGGAAATCAGCTCAGTGCATTTCATCCTGGTAGACAGAGAACAGTCTTGCTTCCCAGCCACTGGGAAGAAGTTGGTACTGGTGCTCCAGCCTCCTGTTTGCCCTTCTGCAGGTATTCCCAGACAGGCAACTACGAGCTAGCTGTGGCCCTCTCCCGCTGGGTGTTCAAGGAGGAGGGTGTCCTCCGTGTGGGGCCTGTGTCCCACCATCGGGTGGGCGAGACAGCCCCACCCAATGCCTACACTGTCACTGACCTAGTGGTAAGAGCTTCTTGGGAGTGGGAGGGCCCCAAGGTTTTGGCCAAGTTGACTTAGTTCGAAAGCATTTATGGAACACTTCTGTGTTGTGCCTGAGGGGCCTAAATAAGGATGAATGAAGTAACCTTTACCCTGAAGAAAGTCAGTTTAGTGCAGGGAAACGGATACCCTAGTGGAGACCTTGTGGAGAGGTGTGGTTTTGCTGTGGGAGTGCAGAGGCGGGAGGGGCTTCGCCGATTCACTCTGCTGGGAGTGGGGATCACAAGAGAAATGACACTGGAGTCGGGTCTCGAGGATGAATTTGTCAGGCAGGAGAAATGGGGCAAGGCAGGAGAGCAGCAAATATGGCAGCAGAGATGCCCGAGTGCCCGGCATGGTCTAGGGGTGGAGCATGGGTGCAGACTTCCGCGGGCCTACAGAGGTAGATGCGAGTCAGAGGGGTTAGCCTGCTGGGAGGTACCTCAGTCATTGTCTGGGGTGGGTGGTGGGGCCTGCCCGCTATGTCACGACTTATGGGAGTTCCTGCCAGATTCATGAGTGGGGAATCAGTGCAGCTGAGGATGGCAACACACCTCCTGTCACCGGCCTCCCTGGCTAACGGGCCTTTTATCTCAGGAGTACAGCATTGTGATCGAACAGCTCTCAAATGGCAAATGGGTCCCCTTTGATGGTGATGACATCCAGCTGGAGTTTGTCCGCATCGATCCTTTTGTTAGGACTTTCTTGAAGAAGAAAGGTAAATGTAATTCTTGCACATGAAGCTGCAGGAAGAGTCCCTGCCTCTGGCTTGCTCTTGGGGGGCTAACAGAAATGTGGCAGGACGCCCCCCTCCTGGTTATTTGTGTTGCTCATCCCCAGGTGGCAAGTACAGCGTCCAGTTCAAGCTGCCTGACGTGTACGGCGTGTTCCAGTTTAAAGTGGATTACAACCGGCTGGGCTACACTCACCTATACTCTTCCACTCAGGTAAGCGCAGGTTGCAGTCAGTCTCCCGTTTTCAGTCAGCGTGTGTCCCTCCTGGGCCTGTCACCTCTGTCCTGTTGCAGGTGTCGGTGAGGCCGCTCCAGCACACGCAGTACGAGCGCTTCATCCCCTCCGCCTATCCCTACTACGCCAGCGCCTTCTCCATGATGGCGGGACTCTTCCTCTTCAGCATCGTCTTCTTACACATGAAGGAGAAGGAGAAGTCTGACTGAGGCCTCACAACGAGGAGATGCAGGGCTTTGAATAGGACTGGGTGTTTCTCCCTTTATGGTGGATTTTTTGTTTGTTTGTTTTTTAAAGCCGTGGGACAGTGGCACAGCCTTACCTCAGTGGGAGATGCAGCATTGAGAACCAAGGGGTGGGGTTAGGGGGCGACTCTTAGGTGAAGTTTTTCCACCTACTGCTAAGTGGTGTTTTCCATATGTGCAGTCACAGTCATTTCTAAAATAAAGAGAAACGCTGCCCTCAAACTTCCTCTGGCCCTGCTGTGCTTCGCTACTGGAGGGGTTGTTGTTCGGAAATGACTGGATCCAGAAATAGTAAGTGGTCTCTTTTAATTTTGGCGAAGACTGGACTGTATTTTAACTATGAAATGATAGCATTTCCAAACTTCTCAAGGGATCAAATAAGGTTATTACTACACTGAGGTTGGTGGGGCATCACTGAAATGGGAAATGCAGGGTAACAGTGCTTGTATGTAGAATTATGGAATTGCCTGCTTGAAAAGAACCTTAAATATGTTCACTTGCTTTAGGTGACGGCTGTGTTCCTAGAGCATGTGCAGAACTCGGTGTGAAATCCCTTCCCCACTGCTGGTCTCTGCCCGCAGAATTTTCTCATCTTTCTGGTATACCAATTAACGCCAAACAGTTCAAGGCACAGACAGATTCTGCAGTTATACATGTGCGTTTAATGCTTCACAATTCCTGTAAGAAATGCGAGTCAGAAGGAAATCAAGTTTAAAACCCTAAGCTGTTAATTTCTATTTCACCAGTCATTTTAGCTCTACTAGACTCGATTTAGGAGCTGGAAGAGCGCCGTGGAAATGCTTTCTCAGAGCTACCCCGGAGCTATCCCAGCATGCACAGCTGGAGTTCAGAGGCTCCCTATTCTCCTGCCTGCGTTTTCATTCTGAGACCTGAATATACTGACCTGTGCAAATGTTTGCCTTAGCTCAGGTCACATGCCACTGACAGCCACCACCTGGGCTGGGATCTTCGCTATAAAGTGGAGCGCAGGTCCGCCCCTCCTCAGCCCAGCCTCATCTAACAGACCAGCTCGGCCATTAACTCTGCGGAGGTCTGTGAAGACAGAACAGGAGCACAAGGTAGGGCTTTCTGGTCAGCAGTTAACACCTGAGGGATCTTCTCACCTGGTCAAAGAACTCATTCCTTTGGCTTTGTAGGCAGAGATCTTACTATGTTAATTGTAGCATACATACACAGAGGGGTCCCGTGATTAGCACTTTGTGTGATCATCTAGGCCAGGGGCCGGCAAACTTTTGAGATGGAAGAGCCACCAGGGGTCAGCAAATTGCGGCTCGTGAGCCTCTGAAGTACAATTGAAAATGAAGATAAAACAACTATCATAGTTTCATTTATAAAATTTTTAAAGGATATTGTTCACATAATGGTGATTATGTAAAAATATATTTATGGCTCTTAAATAATTTTTAAGTCGTTGTGAAAGACAGGATTGGCTCTTCCAGGGGTCAGCTAACTTTAGAGACGGAACATACCCAAAGAGCTGCATGTAACTCGCGAGCCGCAGTTTGCCGACCCCTGGTCTAGACCAAGGGCTGGCAGAGTATGGCCCGTGGGCCATTCCAGCCCGCAGCTTGCTTTCTGTATGGCCTGCAAGCAAAAATGGTCTTTACATTTTTAAACGATTTAAAAAAATTAATATTTTGTGACACATGAAATTCAAATTTCAGTGCCCATCAATAAAGCTGCACTGGCACACAGCCACGCTTGTTCGCTTACATATTTAAGATTATAATGACAGAGTAGCTGTGTTAGCCAAGTCTTTACTCTTAGGCCCACTCCAGGAAAGGTTTGCCGACTCCTATCTAGACCAGTTACTTCATTTTATAGGTAACAGAACTTCAGACCACACTGGTTATAGGACACATCCAAAATCGCACAGCTAGGTTTAGTAGCTACAGACCATGAACTTCACTCAGCATGTTCCTCCCATTTGCCAAATCAGAGGCCCTCTCTTCTGTTCACCAGCCCTCTCTGCGCCATCTTTTCTCTTGACTCCCACCCTCACACCTCTGAGCTCCCGCCCTCAGCATTCACAGACCATCACGACATAGATGCTGCCAAGTTCTTTTAGTAATTCACCAGCTACATCAGCGCTATCACGGGGCGGCCCTCCAGGAGTAGAGGAGAAGGGCTGCCTCGCACAGCGCTTCATACTCCAGGTTGGCCAGAAATAACATCTTCATTTTTGTTTCTACACAGCTCTTCTCCGTGAGCCTGTCGGCCAATAAAGTGGCTGCTGATTGTTGCAGGAGCCAGCCAATCATCTTGTCTAGTTTCAGATTCTTCAGGGCTAGAGTATGTTCACCCCAGAGGCTTAAATGAAGCACGTTAGCAGCTACTCGGGCAGACGGTCTCTGCAACAGAAAGGGAAGCTGAGGCTTAGGACATCTATGACAGTGCTCGGCCCACAACCGTTTGTTAATAAATCCTCACTCAAGGTCTTGCCTCTCTGGTCCCAACCAAATTCTGCCCTGTCCTTCTCCCTGCTCTGATACCTTTCACATATACTGGCTGCTCTCAGCCCATGCTCCAGGCTTTTCCACATGTACACATTTGGCTGGGGGGGCACTGTGCCCCCAGTTGGAATAGCCTCCCCATCATGGAAGGCCCATGAACCACCTCCTGCACATGAGCACTGGGGGAAGGCACTGTAGCTCATGGTACCTGGTAGCAGTGAGCATTACTGTGACAGTGACAGCATACTGCACAGTGAGAGGTGAGTGGAGGAAGGAGAACATGAATCCTGGTCTGTCTGCTCTTTCCACTAAGCATGCCGCCTGAACCGGACCTACCACTGTGGCTTCACATGTGTCAGCCAGTAGATTCCTTTAGAGTAATCTCAAAATGTCCAGGTCTGCTCTCAGAGACATCTTCACACCTGTGTATCTCATTAGATCTCAGCCGTTTCCATAAAGGACATCTCCATTAGACATTTCTTAAAAATGCATCTTTTCCCC